GGATGTGACAGTGAGAGTGGTGAAGATGCTAATGCTGATGTACTTTATCATTCCTCATAAAGACTAGAAGTCTCGGTATATTGATAGCTGCTGGTGGGCTTTGCTTGAGGAAGACCAGATGTGGGAGAAATTCCCATGGGGGAGTTACTCGTTTCAGTACCTGTTCGAGTACTTGAAGATGCCCAAGTACACTAATATGAAATATCATATCTACGGATTTCACTGGGCGTTTCTAGTATGGTGCTACGAGGAAATCCTTGAATTAGGTCGTACATGTGGAACACGTACCTCAAGGAGACATCCACCACGGCTGGTTCACTGGGAATTCCCGAAGGTCACCTTTCTAGATACATTTTTTGACCAACAGGTATTATTTGATCCTAAACATTTTTTATTGGAATCGTTAGCAAGTGATATCCGAAATTCTTTTTTAAGTCTTAACGATTTCTGATGATTTCTTTATCTTTTATGTTCTATTTTTTTAAATTTAGTTAGAGGTGCATGAGAAACTGAATCTGTATGAAAAGGAGATTGGCGTGTTGGACATCTCGAATTTGAATGTTGAGGGGCCTCAACTTTTGCGACGGGCTAACCCGAGGAAGCGGGCCGACACTGTGCACCCGAAGAAGCGGGCCCGGACTGAGGGTGAAGATAGTCCGATGCACCGGGAGGAGGTGAGGCCAACAGATGGGTCGACCTTTATTGAGGACATTCGGGCATGCGTATGGGCTGAAATGGCTAATGTTATAGCCAGAATATCCTCTGAGGTGTCGACAAATCATTCTACGGGAGGTGCCGACTATTATTCGACAGGAGTTGGCCAGTTTGTCGTACTCCCATCTGAGACAGCCTCCTCCCGAGTCTGAGCTAGCCGTCAACTCGACGAGACCTCGTTTTCCCCCCTCCCATGAGAGACAGCGTTCNAGAGACAGCGTGCCCCCACTCCCACCTCCGAGACAGCCGTCCACAATTCCCTCACCGAGACAGCCGTCGATCCCACCTCCACCTCCGAGGCAACCGCCGCCAACCCCTCCACCTCCAAGACTGTCCTCCCTAATCCCGTCCTCGAGACACCGGTGCTACAGTCCACTTCTTCTCCACTTCTTGGACGTGCTGTTGTAAGTCAATATCGTCTCGACGAGAACAAACGGTATGCCAAAGATGAGCGCGCGTTTGAACAGTTCCTCAAATCCACGAAGCCAGAAATGTAATTACATCCAAAAGATCTTTTATTGTTTATATTTTTTAAAAAAAATAACTTTTTATTATATTATTTAATAGGAGGAATGTCGACGTTAAATATGAGGTGGGCCAGTACTGGTTTAAGGAGTTGATTGATCCGGCTACAATGATGGAGGAGGATGTATGTATATGTTTGTCTTGTAATAATATCTTAACGTATAAAAATGAATTCATGGATGATGTTTGGTTTGATTTTATAAAACAGCACGTGAATGCATACTTGGGGATTAAGCAAAACAATCCACTATTTTTGGGAATTCATGTATACTTGACAACATGTTGGGCAGTTATACCATCGTGCCGACTACGTTTTTTGTGAGATTATTTTAATCCTTTCTCTTTTCCTTGTCATTCCATTTTTATTAATAATTATATTAATTACATTATTATTTATTATTTTGTTGTATTTTATATAGTGGATTCTGGGGCAATTGGAGAGGGAGGTCCATGCTAAAAAGGAGCTAGCGGACTCAGACAACCTCCAATCTTTGATTCGCTATGCGAATGAGGGGGTCAGCGATTGGGGGAATCCGTCTACTTGGAGGGATATTACATCTGTAAGTTTTCAATGATTCTGAATCAATTAATATTGCAATCTTTCCTAAAAAATTAGTGAATTTCTCACAACTCAATGCAACAGATTATTGGAGTCGCTAATTTGGCAGAGCACTACGTAGTTTTCCAGATTCTTTTACTCGAGGGGACGATACATGTGTATGACCCCCTACGGCATACGTATAAAAAAGTCCCGCGTCAAAGCATTCAAAAAAGTCCAAAATCTAATTCCACTGATTGCGACGTATGCGGGAGTAGAGAAGGTGAGCAAAAAGTTCGATTTGAAAATCATGAACCTCAAAAATACTATCTTGCAACATGATAAAATTTCTTGTGGTGTATGCGTTGTGGAGATGGTACGAGCTTTGCTAATGGGGAGCAAGCCCTTAGACAAGTCTAACCAACAGTGGGCTACGGACATGAGGCGCAAAATTGCTCGACAAATTTTTCAGTTTAGTACAGAACCAGAAACAATTATTACTGCCCTAGTTCTGTAATTACTCATGTAATACATTTTTTTTTTGTTTTTTGCATTTTATTATACTTTTGTTGTTTGTTGTATGTATGTGGCGTTTCTCATACCTGAAAGAAAATAATTAAACTAAATTAAACGATGAAAGATGAAAGAAATAAAAAATAAACTTTCGAGTAGAAGTGCGAAGGGGGTATGCGAGCAATATGAGGCAATTCGCATACCCCATCTCATAACTGAAATAACTGAAAGGTGAAAGAAATAAAAAAGAAATAAAAATTAAACTTTCGAGTAGAAGTGCGAAGGGGATATGCGAGAAATATGCGGCAATACGCATACCCCTCGCATAACTGAAATAATTGAAAGAAATAAAAAATAACTTTCGAGTAGAAGTGCGAGCAATATGCGGCAATTCGCATACCCCATCGCATAACTGAAGGATGAAAGAAATAAAAAATATTTTACGGAAAAACCTTATAATGCACCAACTCTGCAAATAATATTCGACGTTCGTATCTCGCAGAATAATCTTTTCGACTAATAGTCGCAGATACATTCGCCTAACAAGAATAATTATTTAATGGGCGACGGATCGCGATTGACCGAATCGTACATCGAATTTCCGCATACTCGTTGCAGAACAGTCGCATACTTTAACTCATAATTTTCTCGCCCATGCTCATACCGGTCGTCTATCAATCGCATAGTTCATCGCATATGTCTTCGTACTTTTTGGGTGAAAAACTTAACTTTTTATTGGGTGGTGTGAAAAACTTAGGAGGACTTTAAAACGGGGTGAAAATAGCTATTTTCACTTTATATAATTGTATTTCTTAAAATATGAGCTCCTACGTGCACCGCACGCGATATACACTAGTAAAATAAAAACCATTCAACTTAATGTTTTACAATAACATTCAACTGAAGTTTAACAAATAAAAAAAAAAACCATTCAACTTAAAAATGAAAAAAAAAATATACAATTGATGCGATTTTCGATTGCTCTGTAACACGAATGTATGTTCCCACGCTTCGATACAAGCTTGTTCTCCTGAGTCGACCCGTCAGACTCTCAGGAGAACGAGCTTGTCTCGAAGCGTAGGTGTAACACCCCGCCTTTTCTAACTTTTACTTACGAAAAACTGAGTAAAATTTTCGCGTTTGTTTTCGAAATATGTTGATACTGTTTTCGAAAAATACTTATACTTAACTAACTCACAAGATGTTACTTACTTAATAACTAACTTCTTACTATTTCCTTTTACTTATGCATGTACCAAAATTGATATAAAATCCAGCTGAAAAATATGGATAAGAGAAAATTAAACATGTATGCATACATGTTCTAGGTTGGCAGTACGGAAGCATACATAAAATACTGTACAGTCTGAAAATTATATTATTACATGCTAACATAAACATAAACATAATTGAATATCCAGCTGTCTTCGGACACCACCACACCACCGCTCGGCTCACACTCCGATTGGACTCCGTCACCTGAGAAAAAACATAATGGGAGCGTGAGCAAAACTACTGGACTCCTCTCACGTTTGTTTAGTAAATTTATTCAACTTATTATTATTATAATTTATAAGTATTATTATAATTATTACAATTAATTATAATTATATTTAAAATTATTATTATAATTATTGTAATTAATTCTAATTTATAATTATTATCATAATTAGTATAATTAATTCTAATTATTATTAGAAATTATTATTTTAATTTATAATTATTATAATAATAATAATTATTATTATAATTATTATTAATTTATAATAATTATAATAATAATTATTTTTATAATTTATAATTAATTATATATTATAATCAATAATTATTATTATTATAAAAAAATAATTGCCCGGCCGGCGGGCCCTGTTCGGTTCGTTCCGTCCGGCCTCCGATTCCGTCCCGTTTTTCCGGCGTCCGGCCGCTGATCTCGGCCGGCTTAAAAGCCGTGCGTCCAGTAGGGCCGGACGTCTTTTTTGCCGTCCGGAATCGAGGACCGGACGGCGCCGCCGCGTCTGGAGGCGGCGGTCGGACGCAGCTTCAGATTTAAAAAAAAAATTTAAATTTTTTTTTGCACGTAAAAAAAAAAAAATTACCTTGCTAGAGAAGAATACTCTGCCGAGGCTGTAGGATTTTTTCGATATGTTTTTGGATTTTTTTTGGTGCTCGAATCACTCGTTGAAAGTTTGAGAATTTAGAGAGATAAAAAGTTTAAAGAGATGAAGGCAAAAAAAGAGTTAAGGAGAAAAGAATAAAAGGGACGGTGAATGGTAGATGAGATATTATAAAAATCTACCATGCGAGGCTTTATTTGTCAGTACAGAAATCGACCTGGATTGGATTAGTTTATTTATACTCATACACATGGCTTTATGTAATAGGTTGAACCATGTCACCTTGACACGTCTATATTTGATAAAAGTCTTACTTCCCTGATTTTCAAATTGCTACAGTCTTTGCATTCTCAAATTACTTTTATTTTGTCTACGTTTTTTTTAAAAAATCATCCTTTATTAAAAGTTATCTAAAAAAAAAGTTTTATTTTTGAGACGAAGAATTTCAAATAGTACAATTACAACCTCAAATTTAACTAAGAATATACAGTGCTTAAAAAAAAAGAATGTGATATATAATAAATAAATCATAAATGTGAATTATCCGAAAAAAATACATTTATGAAGAATAAATAGTTAATTAGTAAGAGAGAAAAAAAAAAAAAGAAATTGTTGAGGACCTGCAATTAACTATATATACCAACAAGTGTAACAGCTGCAATAAAACCACTTTAAACTCCTTCAGTTTCTTCGAAAGTTCGATCCAGCCAAAAAAATGTCGTCGTCACGTTCACAGATCTGCTTGGTCGTCGCGGCCCTAACGCTGTCGTTTTTCGTATCGGCGTTTGCCGACGACGTCGTTGTGTTGACGGAGGAGAATTTCGAAAACGAGGTCGGTAAAGATCGCGGAGCTCTCGTCGAGTTTTATGCTCCTTGGTATGGATTTTTTTTATTCGAGATTTCCTTTTACCTTTTTCTGCTGATCTTTTATTCTTTGCATTCTGTTTGTTATCCATGCTTGAGAATGTTTTGTTTGGAGTTGTGTGCCGTAGCTGTCTGTTGATTACCCCCTTCCCTGTAGTAGATCTGTGAGTTTTGAGCTCGTTTTTGTTGATATGGATTTGATTATTCATAGGATCTGTCTAGATTTTTTCCTTCTCTTACTTCAACATAAAGTATTTCAAATTTTGATTTGTAATTTGAACGTTCTTCCGATGACTAAGTAAAGAATTTTGGACTCGGTTTGTTTGTTAGCGGATTGATTCTCAATTAGCAGATTGATGCTCAACTAGCAGATTGAAACTCAATTGGACAATTTAGACGATTGACCAAATAAATGTGCTTTAATGTTTGTATTGTGAAGAACTTAATTGATTATGTGCTTATTAGTTTGTATTATGAAGAACTTATCTGATTAGCTTTTTGATCCAAACGCTACTTTTAAAAAGAGTTCAAAAGAGCATCAACAACATAACTGTAGATTTCTGCTATTTACCAAACGTCTATTTGAGAAATTGCTGATTGAATTAGCTAGTTAAATCCGCTATCCGCTAATACAATCAGTTTTCCGCTGTCAGCTAATATCCAAACAAGACAATCATCTATTTGTGTATTTGTCGATTTGGGGTGTTTTTAATTTAAAACCGCAATTTATTGATTGATGGGGAATCTTACCAGTGGTTGTTATTTTGTAACTACATTGCTCTTGTTTAATTAATTCCTATGATGTGACGTTCTTTCCTGTGCAGGTGTGGACATTGTAAGAAGCTTGCTCCTGAGTTTGAAAAGCTTGGTGCAAGTTTTAAGAAGGCAAAGTCTGTTCTTATTGGCAAGGTAAGGGTCTATAATTTTTTTGAACTAATGTCTATGGTATTATGTTGGTGCGGTCAAGTATTCTGTATGAATTTACATATTTCTGTTTCTCCAAAAATATTAGAGTTTTTCTTTACTCTTTCCTTCTAGAAGATGGGCAGAAACAGAATTATGATTGTGAAACTCCTACGTAATAATCAAATTATTTTTCAGTCTTCTTTCTGATCTTGCAACAGTCTAGTAGTAAAGATTCTTCTGCCTTATCTTTTTCTTCTCACTAAAATGAAGTTGGAAACTCATGTTCAATACTAGTTGAGAAATAGATGGATTTGCTGTCTTCCTCTTGCATAGATCTTATTACTCACACTAATATCAACGGAATATTATAACATCGTCCCAAAATCCTGCTCATTAATTTAAAAACCTCTCTCTAAGTTGTGTTTCAGTCATCGTGAGTAATTATTCTTTCAAATTTTAAAGCAAAAACATGAATTTTACTGAAAAAATGCATAAAATATCATGACAGTCACGGCTAAAGTTATCTTTTGTTTTTTTCTTTTAGCAGTTTATTAGATTACCTTTTATTTATAGTTGAGTAACTTAATTTATGAGTACTACTTATCTTTAAATATGTGTATTACTCACCTTTAAATGTGTGCCTATATGATCCTTGAATAACCATAAAATGAGAAAACTTGTGTAATGTAATTCTGTTTTTGTGATATAGTTATTTTATTAGAACTGTATTTGCTTTATCAAGTTAAAATTTTGATAAAAAGGTATTAAATTAGTTATTGTTGAGATCGTAACAAATGTATTCAGTTGACAAAATAATGTATATGGTTTCATTTTTTTTTTTTTTAATTGTAGGTTGATTGTGATGACCAAAAGAGTCTCTGTAGTAAGTATGATGTTTCTGGATACCCCACCATTAAGTGGTTCCCCAGGGGGTCTCTGGAGCATAAAAAGTGAGTTCACTCTTTCAGATCCAATTATTGATGCTAAGTTGCCCTGTATCCTTGATATTCATGCTATTCTTAGGCCAAGTAAATCCCTAACATTAAGTTATTAATTTACTAGATATGAAGGTGGAAGGACTGCCGAAGCCCTTGCCGAATTTGTTAACAATGAAGGAGGTAATCATTTTTCTGATCTATGTTCATTTGTCTTGCATTATTACTACTATATAGGTTGTACTGATAAGAAGGGAAAATTTTCTCGTGCCTGTTTTCTATCTTTCGTCATCACTACAGTACGGTGCATGGTTAAATTACACCTGATTGCGTTTCTTCTTTTTACTACGATTTCTGATACCTACATAATTCTACATAATCTGGTAATTGTTATTTGTATATGAACTTGTTTCCATTCATGGATAATGTCTGCAAGAAGGAAAATAATTTAAAACCTCATGCCTGAGACAGTTACTTTTGCCTTAGTATCTTTTCTTAGACCCCATCCTCATAGTGTCTCACCTTGTTTCCTTCACTGGTCTGTCTTCAGGGACAAATGTGAAGATTGCTTCAGTCCCTTCAAACGTTGTGGTCTTGTCTCCAGAGAACTTCGATGAGATTGTGCTCGATGAAAAAAAGAATGTACTGGTTGAGTTTTATGCCCCTTGGTAAGTTTGAAGAAATTTATGTGACATTGGGTCCATGTTATTGAATTAAGCAATGTGGTGGTCTTGTATTTATATAGAACATTTACAGCAGCTTCACAGGGTATGCTATAGAGTTGTGTACTGCATTAGTTTTTAAAGTGTCTCTAATTTTAATGATTTTGCTTTCCAGGTGTGGGCACTGCAAGCAGCTGGCTTCTGTAAGTGCTGTACCATACTGGCTCATAGAATAAACCGACTGACTCGTTTTTTTCAGATAAAATGTTTGAATAATCTAATCGTCTCTATATCTTCTCTGCTTGTAGACCTACGAAAAAGTTGCAACGGCATTCAAGCTAGAGGAAGATGTGGTCATTGCAAATCTTGATGCTGACCAACACAAGGACCTTGGGCAAAAGTGTGTTTTTACAATCTAGTTGTCTTTTCCTTTACTGATTTGGGTTTCAATGAGTTTTTTTGTTTCTCTTCTGTTGGTAGTTAATCTTGTGTATTTTCTGCAAAGCGCAGGTATGGTGTTAGTGGTTTTCCCACGTTGAAGTTCTTCCCAAAGAACAACAAAGCTGGTGAGGATTATGATGGTGGCAGAGATTTAGATGACTTTGTTACTTTCATCAACGAGAAGTGTGGTACTAGCCGAGATGCGAAAGGACAGTTGACTTCCAAGGTTTGTAGCAAAATGAGTTTTTTTGGTTAATTTTGAAAAATGTAGTTAAGTTAGTTGTTAGTGGGATTTTGAGTTTATAATATTTAAAATAAAATAATTAAATTGATTTGATGTAGAAGTAAGAGAGAAATGATGTGAAGTGGTAGTTAGTTAAATTTATGAGTGGAAGAATAGTGAATTAAAGTTATGTGATGTGTAAGAATGATTGATTAATATTATTTAATTATATTTATAATATTGAGAATAATGGGGTTGAGTTAAAGTTGAGCTAGATTTTGAGTATGGAGTGAACATGTATTGAGTTATTTTATATACAAACACACACTAAAGATGTCATTCTCGTTGTATCTCTATTCCCAAGTCTAATTTGCATTTGTTTTTCGTNTTCGTTTTTCTAGGCTGGTATTGTGGAAAGCCTTGATAACTTAGTGAAGGAATTCGTAACTGCAACAAATGAGGATAAGAAAGCTATACTCAAGCGGTTGGAGGAAGAAGCTGATAAGCTCGAGGGTTCCTCCGCCAGGTTCTCTCAATGACCTTTATTGAACCTTGATCTGTCTTATAGTTATACTTGTGTTGTTATATTATATTGTTTTATCTCTAAATTATACACACATGAAAGTTTGGTATTAATTGTCTTTGAAATTATCCTCTTGTTATTTGTCTGTAGGTATGGGAAGATCTATGTGAAAGCTGCTAAGAGCAGCCTGGAAAAAGGTTCCGATTACGCTAAGAATGAAGTTCTTCGTCTGGAGCGCATTCTTACCAAGGTAAACCATTATTTCTTCCAGCCCATAGCTTTCTTGCCCGTATTAAAATTTTAAAATTAATGCTATCCCTGCCAAAGTTAAACCATTGTTTCTTCCAACCCATAGTCTTCTTGCACATATTAAAAGTTAAACTTAATGCTATCCCTGTTTTCTCTAATGATCAGCTAGAGAAATACACATTTTAGGCTATGTTTGGTAAAACTAGCTGATAAGCTAGTTTATAGCTTATAAGTGATTTTCGAGCTTATAGCTGAAAAGTTGGATTGTATGATAAAAATGTTTGGTAAAATTAGCTGAAATAAAAATTTAACGAGCTTATTTGAAAAGCTACACAAAGAAGCTCATAAAATAAGCTTGAGTTTTTTGAAAAAGCTCGTCCTATCAAACAAAACTTATTTGAATACAGGAACCTTATAAGCTAACCAAATAAGTTATAAGCTACTTTATTTGGTTACCTTATTTGGTTACCAAACATAGTCTTAGTTGTCCATGTCTTTTGACTATCTTGTGATAAGTAGTCCAATGTGTAATATTTATGACGAAATATTTTTTTTTTTTAGAATATCATGGTAGTAGAAATTCTCGGACAATTGTTTAATCAGATTTTTGTGAATGCAGTCAATCAGCGCAACAAAGGCCGATGAGTTCACACTGAAGAAGAATATTCTATCGACCTTTGCATCTGACCAGTGAAAAGGATTGCAGCTATTGATGCTTTCATGCTATCGGCCTTTAACTTCACGCTTATTGTTCGCACCTTTTTCAGGGATTTTTGAGTTTTATCTATCCATTTCACATGGACTACACATATTATGGAGTCCCTTAGGACTAGCTCGGAAAAACATTTGAACGAGGAGAACACATTACGAATTACTTGTTTTCAACAGTAGCAATAATGTAACTTTTTTCATAGGGAACTTTTGGTGTTTATGACTTTACTTTTTGTGACTGTGAGATGAAAAAACGATGACGGATTTTGCAGAATTACGAACGTTATTTGAGCAGCATCTTTTCATGTTGTTTTAATATATGCTATTGAGGCCTACGAGGTGAACCTGATTTGAAAAGTTGCAATATGCATATTTTGTAGTTAACCAACGACATTTCTTATTCTGTCTGGAGTGCATATAGTCCACTTTTCTTCTTACAACACTTCTGTAGGGGAGAGATAAATTCATTGGCATGACCGAATTGTTAAGGTTTACATTATGCAAACTGAATAGATAGTTCGTGTTGTGAATCAGAAGTTTTTGTTCTGACTCATTTATAACTTTGGAGACACAAATCCATCTCTAA